AATTATATTAACGTCACAAAATTAAATCACAAACTTTAGTGTTTCTTCCTTCTTAAACAATGCACTACCTGAAAATAACATCCAAACTGGGACACATGCAATTATTTTTCAACTATTTTGAATCTTCTGCATACCCTTGAAATTGAGGAGCAGATTCACCGCTAGCTCCAAAAACCACATTTGCAAACGGCAGGTATTTTCTCAAAATGCAGATCAACGCCACTAAAGTCAATTTTACTAAATAACAAAAAATACAATACCAGTGACTGAAACTTGAAATAAAAGTAACTTTAAATATTTAGAACCTCAAATATCTATTTCAATTTCAAAATTGTCTCTAAAATGTAAATTTGACCCTGGCCAATTCGAAACTAAACGTCTGAAACTGTGTTCTGCCTCCAAATTAATCAACAGGAAATGATGGAAATGGACCGCGTATTCTAAAAGCTTGTAATTACTATTTAAGCATAGCTATAGCTTATATAATAAATAATTCCATTAAGAATGTCACTTTTTTAAGATAAACTTAAAAAAGTATATGTACTCCCAATTTATAAAATGGTTCAAAAGATCCAAAAAAGTAAAAACTATTTCAATTTTGCCAACCTTATCAATATTTCTTTGAAAAACATATAGCATTACAATTACACAGAAACTTATATAATTAGTGAAAGTCGGGTTTCAGTGTCAAACAGCTCTAATTCACCATCGAATCCTTCCTTAATGATTTAGATTTATAAGTTTATTTCAGTCTCTTTCATATGCAAACATATATACATTAACATATTAAAATTGATAAATGTACATATGACCATTCTACAATAGAATTCTAAGAGACTATAAACTAGTAGTATTATAGTATATAATCGATAGTGAGGTCCTACTGACATTATAAGAACATTTACATCATAAAAGTTATATTACACTCACTGACCTTCAATTAAAAAAAATAGAAAAAATGTCATAATAAATTTGATAATAAAACTTTGAGTGTTGTAAAGTGTGGCACTATTGTGCAATTTAATAAATATCATAAATAAAATATATCACCCGTGGTCAGACCATGGGTGAAACGGTCAGTAGTGATATTCTATACGTTCATGTAGATAAAACAACTTATCATGTTTAAAACAGATTAATTTCACTTGTACAATACTATCATGTACTTATAAGCACAAGATCATATAAAACCGGTTAAATATCTCTATTAAAATAAATTAAAAACTAAACATTAAGTGTTCTCGAGATCCTTTCTTATACAGTATATTATAGCGGAGCTGAAGAGTATTGTAACAGGTTTTAGCTGTGACTTAAACAATAGCATTTTTGGAGAGATATCTTCATCGGTTCTGCTATTAAGTTACGAGCTTTTTTTAACATATAAAACCTACTGTGCTCACACGTATTACAAGATAAAAATTCATGTTTTTCACATTCAACTGTAATTTTACATATTGAACATATCCTACTGTCAACAACAATATTTTTATATCTACTTGTTTCAAGCTTTACTCCACATCTGAATTTTGCTAGTGCAGACGTGTGTACGTGTTAAATATGGTTTACAATTATAGTGTTCAGTTTTACAATTATTTAAATAAGACTCATAGTATCCTTCCTTAATGGTTAAGATGACGATTGTTTGATAGACACAGTATTTTTAGATCTAAAGAAGGCATTTGATTTGGCAGATGACAGCATTTTGAATTATACAAATTCTCAAACACCTCAAAAGGTTTTCAAATCATATCTTAAAAAAAACATAGTTTGTCAAATATGGAAATAATTATTCAAATAGTGGACCAGTGAAATCAGGGACCCTCCATGGTCTATATTAGGCCCTTAACTCTGAATTTTCTACGTTAATGATATTCCTTTTAATACAACACACTTACATGTATGCTGACATATATGCTGACTATACTACTATGCATGCATCAAGTTTAAACAAGTGATTCAGAGAACCCTGCAATGTAATGGTAATAATACATGTAAATTGTGTAAACATAACAACATGGCAATAAATCCGCAAAAGACCACTTAAAATCTTATCCTTTTTAGATATAAATTTAGAAAGGTACATGCCTAAGTCAAACGAAATCACAAGAATAATTAGATATTTACTAAATGAAATGTTTAAATAAAGCACGTCTGTAATAAATTACTAATTAAGAGTATATCGTACGTTTTACACATTGAAATGAAATAAATGTTTTACAATGCTTATACTTGTTTGGTTTTGATTACTGTTGTATCATATAGAGTACTTGTAACAAAACTTTACTTGAAAAAGTGACTAAACTGCAGAAACGCGCAGTAAAGATTATATTGATGTGTTCCAGGTATTCGACATTAATCATTAACTTAACTGTAAACTGTGTAACAATTAATTATTAAGAAAACTTACCTACATGAACTTAATTTTATCAGTGGGTTGTGAAATCCAGTACCAGTTGTTGACTTTTACCAGGCATAAAATGAAAAATGAACGGTGCATTGACTTTTGAACATTTATACAGGTTATACCAATGGTATTAGCTGCTGGTACTCTAAATGTAAGAAACACATATATATCGTGACACTCCAGTTGTAATTGTTTATAAACAATCCTTTTAATCTTGATTTTAAGCTGCCATAATTTCTTAAATGTTTGCATTTTTGTGTAAAGTCTGATTTCCTCAGATGAAGAATTTAATTATCCAACCAACTGCCAAGTAACTTTGTTAAAATCCACATATTTCAATGTATTTACCTTGAAATGTAATTTTTATGTGTTGGAAATTTTCTGTATGCCGCCATTTTGTACTTTGCATAATTGGCTATTTTTAGCTGTTGAATCAGTCAGTTTCTGTTAACACTAGAAGGCAGAAGATGCTTCGTTTAGCTACACAAGAAATTACATCCCAAAAGGTAGAAGATTTTTGGAAATAGTCATTAATGTACATATATTTGCTTAATCTCTATTATTGTAAAATGTTCCTCCATTAAAGTTAAATTCAGTCCGATCAATTTTGATCTTTTCCGATCATTTTTGTGTGACAGCCGTCAACCATTTTTGGTTGTTGATCGTTTTTCTACCATTCCAACCACTTTTGGGCAATGGTTGGGCGTTTTCATAAAAATACGGGGAAATCAGCCGTTTGAGTCAGTCTAGTCTTGTCTTTTTTAGAAGCAGAAGCCTTTTACGCTGTCTAAGAAAATTTGAAACATGAAAAATTTTGGCTTCCATTGAACTTACTGTATAAATTCGTCTGCAGTTTAGCGCCATATATTTTAGTAAGCAAGATTCTTTACAAAAAGACGATTTATTTACAAGATACTCATTTTATAAGAATTTACATCATAATTTGTTACTGTCTCGCAATATATGGTTAATACTTATTGACTTTGAACTTTATTTTTCTGCTATTAATGATAAATGATATAAGCGGCTACGGTTCACTGACTTGCATATACTTTTATGGAATGCCGTTAACGTCTTAATTTAATACGCGATAATATCAGCGAAATTTTGACTTAAATGCATCCTGTGCTGTACTATAGTAAATTATTCATAAGTATCATAAGTTAACAAACTCATATGTTGTAATTTCATCTTAATAACTGAATTTTGTGTGTATACAATTACAAATGAACAGTATTCATCATTTAACTTTGAATAAATGTGACAGTTGGTGTTATAATAATTTATATATTATATTGTGTGATGACATTTATTTTTACACAAAATAAGATTTGTTGAAGTGTTACATCTGATTTGTGCTACATTTTTAATATACATATATGTATAACTGCAAGTAAATGACTTATCCTCGAAGTCTTTGCCTAATTAATTCGAATCATAAGTACAGTTACGTCCCTATAAGATTGTAAAAGATAGCGCTACCAAAAGTTTTTCAATGAAAAACAATATAACATTATATTGCGTGACTGTCCAATGAAAAATTTAATTACAATAAATTGTGTAATTGTCCAATGAAAGACAGTATTACAATATATTGTGTGATTGTCCAGTAAAAAAGTGTCACATTATATTGCTCGACTGTCCAATGAAAAACAGTATTACACTACATTGCATGACTGTCCAATGAAAACAGTTTTATATTATATTGCATGACTGTCCAATGAAAAACAGTATTATATTATATTGCTCGACTGTCCAATGAAAAACAGTATTACATTATATTAATCGACTGTCCAATGAAAAACAGTATTACATTATATTGCGTGACTGTCCAATGAAAAACAGTATTACATTATATTGCGTGACTGTCCAATGAAAAACAGTATTACAATATATTGCGTGACTGTCCAATAAAAAACAGTATTACAATATATTGCGTGACTGTCCAATAAAAAACAGTATTACAATATATTGCGTGACTGTCCAATAAAAAACAGTATTATATTATATTGCATGATTGTCCAAGGAAAAAAACAGTATTACAATATATTGAATGATTGTCCAATGAAAAACTGTATTACAATCCTGATTGTGCGTATAATTAAAATGACCAGTTTGAAACATAACTGCTCAAAATGAGAATGAGTAATTTTCAAGAACTGTAGAAAAAAAGAACAAAAGAATAATAAATTATTATTAAAAAACACCCATTTGTTCAATTGACTTACATGTATTATTCATTTGTGCAACAGAGCCTTGAATATGACATTGTTGCTTTTTAGTTTCCAGCTAATTGACTCTTGAAAGTGACAACTGTAACAGTTATGTACATGTATACATAAATATCCCTTATCCAGACTTAGTAAAGCTGTCATTAAAAGCTGACTGCTATCGGCAAAATTGACCATTTCAAATGATTTTTGGCCAGCTCAAATCGTCACGAAAATTACAACAACGATATTTTGTCTTGTTTATTTCGTTCACTATAAAAAAACAAAAAGCTGCACGGTCTCTAGTATTTCAGCTTATTTCATCTTAGAGGGTGTTGAGTTGTAAATATCTTAAATGGGAATTAATTTTTCAATTTACCATTATTTCAGCCAATTTCCCGTAGGAGGTTGTTCAGCAATTACCGGAGGAGATTGGAGGCGGAGTTTACTACGGTTGGGCCTCTGTGGCTGATGGTCCTGTGTTTAAAATGGTTATGAGTATAGGCTGGAATCCATATTACCAAAACACAGTTAAATCTATGGTAAGGAAATGATCATTCTTTGGGTGGTAACACTTTTATAATGACGCTGTTAAGATTTCCTTAAAACACTGGAATGTTTATCATCTGTTTGCAGTGTAGAACCAAGGTTGTTAAAGCTTTTGTTTAACATATATCTCAGTTTGTATATTAACAATGCAGACCCATATAACAGACTCTAAAGATGTGATTCTCATTGACAGACTTTGCTTCCAAGTTTAGTAAAAAAAATATGGTGTTTTTCTTCTGTTAAGCGGGTAGCTGTGATTTTTGTGGATAGGTAAGAGGGAAAAACAATATATTTTTAGGCCTTATAGTGACTTTTTGTTCTTACAATCCACTATGTATAAACATGTGTTTACATTTCAGGAAACACATATTTTACACAAATTTAAGGAAGATTTCTATGGAAGCAACTTGAAAGTGTGTTTATGTGGTTACCTTAGAACAATGAAAAATTTTGGATCTTTAGGTGAGTTTACATTTCTCTTTACATAACTCTTTTGAGCCAAGGTAAAAAAATAAAAGGCCTTACTCTTCTGAGATAGGGGCAATAATCATGGTTTTCTTGCATATCAGACAGGTTTATCTACTGTTTACACTGGTGCTAGAAAAACTGTCTTACAACCTCCATGTAAGACAAGCTGCGCGTTTGAAATGATGACGTTCCCACGCACCTTTATGAACGCTTTCTTACAATGGCGTCTTTGTGCAGTTATGACTGAAGTTGTAAATTCATACGCTACTTTAAGTGCTAAATAAAAATATGTACCTTCTTTTTGTTATAACAATTATTTGTAAAATGCCAGAAAAAGAATCGAACAACTGCTGTGACACAGACAGAAATATCTAGCGACTGCCGGTACAGACTGGAATATCTAGCTCTCAGAGTTACTGTTCAGCAGAAACTCGGCAGAGCCCAGTTACCCTTGTAAACAGTTACCCTCATGCTAGATATTCCAGTCTTATATTATGCCATCTGTATAAATCTAGAAAATGCACGGCTTTCAGGTCGACTTGACTTAATTACTTGTGTGTTTATTCACTAATAATACTGTTGTTCCGTTTAGTTATACTAATTGGGCTAAATTGTGAGAATAAATTTATTCACAGTCTTTAATTTTAAGTCAAGTTTATGTCCCCACTCATTCATTTGTATCCAAACTTAAAGGGACTCCATTATAGTTTTTTGACTTGAAGAGACTGGAAATAATTTCGAGATTAATATTCCATTGCATGAAGGTCTGGATCAATAACTTTGTGCTTGTTCGCTCACTCCATTTTTCCAGAATAATTATTCTTCTTCTGAAAATTGGCACAAAATTGAAAAAGCATTGCAATGCGTTTCACTCAAATCAGGCCAAAAAAAACCATAAAAATAGGATTTTCAATGTACATGTATTCCTGAGAAAATTTCTCAATTTTCTGAAGCATATCTTTTCTGTTTTAAGTGCCCCAGTTGGTCTATGTAAGAAATTCAAATTTTATGTTGTAATGCTTTTTGATCTCAGTGGAGATCACCTTTAAGATTAGGTGATATTAACCAGATAAATAATGCATTTATGGTGGAGTTAACCAGTACTTAATGCTTTGTCCTAAATGCCAATGATTGACATTTCAAATAAGTGGGGTTTTGATAACAACTAAGGTGCTTGCATTTGTAATTTTATTGTAACACAATAATAATTTCTGAATACAGATTGATAAATGTGAAATGTCAGTAGTACTTGGGTCGCTGTTTTTTTCTTCCTTACTTCGTTTCTGAATAATGTTCTAAATACAAATGTTAATTGCAGACATTTCTTTTATCTTGAAGTTGCTTATATTAATTCAGGCAAGCAAAAATTCTGCAAATGTAGCAAGAAAGAGAAATAAGTAATATGATTTGTATTAGATTTGATAATACGAATGTCAAAATGTATGTAATGTGATTTGCTAGCAATTACATTTATTAGATTTGATGGTAGGAATTTTCAAAATGAGTGTAATATTTTTTGCTTGCTGTTTAAATTAATTAGATTTGATATAAAGAAATATAAGATATATAAATGATTTTGATAGTATTGATACTAAAAGTAGATAGATATTTTTTTTTATTTTCTGTCTCATCCTCTTATTCCAAATGTCACCCAAAATTTCTTTCATGACTCATTTCAAAATAAGTAACTTTAGTAATTATTTGACAATGTCTTAATAAACATAAACAATTTTCTGTCATAAAATTTTAATCTATAACATTTAGTTTTTACTCACCAAATATTCACATCTTAAAATGATATGTAAGAGTGTATGTTAGGTACCATTATAATATTCTCTTTCTGATATGTCATGTTGAATTATTTTGGTTTTTGTTGTTGTTGTTTTCATTCATTTTAAATCCTGATAGTAGATGACTGTTTAACATTGATTTGCACGGAATATATGTCATATTTGGTTTACTTAGGATTTAACTTAATAGCGATCAAGCTTAGATTAATTTATTATTGTTTTTTTTTAACATACATTAAATGTTATCAAACAATTCTAATATTAATAAAAAAATGTTAAGTTCATTTACAATAGATAAAACATCAGTTTAAACAATATTTAGAAGCGGTCATGTAATTCACAACTTAATCCTCTTTAATTGCAGGAAGACTTTAATTTATACTTGAACAATTTTTAACTGCTTTGGTAGTATATAAATTTTCTTCATCGATTCAATTTAATGTCTAAAACTACTATCTTTACTTATAATGTTAACGGAATTTCTGGAAAAGACAAGAGAATTGCTATTTTTCAATGGTTGAAAACACAAAAGGTTGACATAAGCCTTCTCCAAGAAGTGCATTTTCAAACAGGCTGATAAAGAAAAGTGGGAAAAAGAATGGGATGGAACAATTATCAATAGTGGCAATTCAAGCAATCAGTTAGGCGTATCAATTCTTTTCAGAAATGGTTTAAATATTCAAATTCTAAATACTTTTGAAATTGAGATCGGACGTGTATTAGCAGTTCATGTAAGGATTGAAACACAAGAGGTATTTATTATAAATGTATACGGCCCAAATAAAGATGATATTGATATTCTCTGGTAAATTTTGAATCCTTCTTAAAAAACAAAGTGATCACCTTTTTAAATTTTAAAAGGGGGAATTTTTAAAAATAGTGCAGAACCCAAAAATTGAAAACAAGGGGGGTAAAACCCCCCATACAAATTTTTAAAAAGTCGCAAAAAAAAAAAAAAGTTTTCTTGAAACTTTTCAACTTAAAGATATAAATTTTGGGTAAAAAAAATCCGTTAAAATAAAAAAATTTTTTTGGCGCTCAAAAGTACGGGGTTTTTAAAAATAGCGTGTAAAATTAGAAATTTTTTTTGTTTTTTAAATGATTTTGGGAAATTTTTGTTGAAAAATCCCCGGTATTTAAACCTTTTTTTAAATCTGACACTCAAAAGCATATGTAAATTTTAAATTTTTTTAAACCTATAGTGGAAGGACCTTTTTGTTTTTAAACTTAAACAAAAAGTTTTCCTTTTTTAAAATATGGGTTTTAAAAACAGAATTAAAAATGCCGTAACTGAAATACGTTCTCTAATACAGACACAAACCCTTTAGTCAGATGGGAAGTTATTAAAAGTACAATACGAAATGAATCTATAAGATTTTCAAAAATATAAAAAGAAAACAGAAACAGAACAAATTCAAAAAACTTACGACAGAAATCGAAAAAATTGAAACTGAGATAGCCTGCAATTTTGACGAAAATTTAAATAGAAATTTAGAATTGAAAAAAAATCAGAATTAGAACAGTTTCATAATGAAAAATATCAATGGAATTATAACAAGAATAAAAAGTTATAAATTAGACAACAGTGAAAAAAACATTAAATTGCTAAAAAACTTAGAGATTAGAAATGCTGAAAGAAAACTTATTAATAATCTAAATGTCAATGGTAATGTTACGTCAAACCAAAAATGAAATTCTAAATGAGCAAAAAAAATATTATGAAAGTCTGTACAGTGAAAAGATGCAAAGAGACTCAACATATGACTTTTATGATGAAAATAAAATCCCTAAACTAAACGACAACGAGCAAGTATTATGTGAAGGAATTATTACAGAAGAAGAGTGTGTCGAAGCAATTAAAACATTGAAAAATGGGAAAAGTCCTGGATCAGATGGTATAAACGTTGAATTTTATAAAATGTTTTGGAATGAAATTAAAAATGATCTAATAAATTCTCTTAATTATTCATTCGAAACTGAATCTTTAAGTCAGTTGCAGGCACAGAGTTTAATTACCTTAATCCCAAAACCAAAAAAAGATTTATCACTTCTTTCAAACTGGCGGCAAATAAGTTTATTAAACGTTGACTATAAAATACTGAGTAAAGTAATTGCTAATAGAACAAGCAATTATCATAGTATTGCAAGCAATCCATAAGTCCCCTACCGGTAAGAGCCCAAGCAACATTCTGAAGGGCCATTGGCCATTCACTTAGGTTCCTATTTTAAGTAAATTTGTTGAAAAAGTTCTTTAAAAGTGATCACAGGAAACAATTTTTATGTACAGACAGATGGACTGAAGGACACTCTAAAGTTATTTTTTAAACATCCCTGTTATCAAAATATAACATTTTTAAAATCCTATCATGATTGAAGAAGTTGGAGTAAAAATTACCAATTTCTCAAAAAAAGTCTAAGTTCAAAAGGGGCATAATTCTGGAAATAGTCTTGCTATAGTATTGAACACTCACAAATGTTGAGTGATAATAAGAAACATTTATATGAAATTTGAAGTAGATACATTCAGAAAAAGAGGTTATTAAAAAAAACAATGTTTTTTTCATGAAAATTTTAAGTTCAAGGGAGGTAATTCTGATAAATTTTGTGCTAGAGTTGTAAACCTTGTCACATATGATGTGGTTGATGACAAGCAATTTATATTTAAAGTTTGAAGAAAATACCTTAAGAAATAAAGAACTTATGGTGAAAAAACTTAAAAACTAGAATCAGAAATCTTGAAATTCAGTCTATTTGTTGCCATAGCAACCAGAATTTTCAATACAGGAAGATAAGAAAAGGATGTGCATAATTTCCATACTGCCATCTACCCATATGTCAAGGTTCATAAACATATTTTCAGTACTTTTTGTGTTATCACTGGATCCAGGTTATGTGTAAAATTTGCTATAATTTCAGTCTATTTGTTGCCATAGCAACCAGAATTTTCAACATAGGAAGAAAAGAAAAAGACGTGCATAATCTCCATACTGCCATCTATCCATATATCAAGTTTCATAAAAATATTTTCAGTACTTTTTGCGTTATCGCGGGATCCAGGTTATGTGTAAAATTTGCCATATTTTCAGTCTATTTGTTGCCATAGCAACCAGAATTTTCAACATAGGAAGAAAAGAAAAAGACGTGCATAATCTCCATACTGCCATCTATCCATATATCAAGTTTCATTAAAATATTTTCAGTACTTTTTGCGTTATCGCGGGATCCAGTTTTGTGGACGGACGGACTGACGGACGGACGGACAGACGGACGGACTGACGGACGGACGGACGGACAGACGGACGGAGGGTAAACCTAAAGTCCCCTCCGGTAAACCGGTAGGGGACTAAATAACTTGATCGACAATAGCCAAACTGGATTTATTAAAGGCAGATACATTGGTGAAAATATAAGATTGATATATGATGTAATCGAGTACGCAGAACAAAACGAAAAACCTGGAATATTATTTTTTGCTGATTTTGAAAAAGCTTTCGATAGTTTGAATCATAATTTTATTTTAAAAACCCTCGATCTATTTAACTTTGGACCAAATTTAAAAATGTGGGTAAAATTGTTATACAAAAATCCAACAAGTTGTATTCTTTACAATGGTTTCTTGTCGGACTCATTTAATATCAGACAAGGAGTCCGACAAGGCTGTCCTTTATCTCCTTACATTTTTATTTTAGCAATTGAACTCCTCTCCATAGCAATAAGAGAGAATACAAATATTAAAGGATTTAAAATATTTGATATAGAAGTAAAAAACAGCATGTTTGCTGATGATGCAACAATATTATTAGATGGTACAAATAACAGTTTCAAAGAAATGTTAAATATATTTGTACAATTTTCATTCATCTCCGGTCTAAATCTTAATTATAGTAAATGTACAGCTCTAAGAATAGGCCCACTGCGAAACCAGCACGACCTTATATATTGTAGAAAAAAATATAGTAATATTTCATGGACATCAGAAAGTGTAAAAACACTAGGAATAACATTTCATTCAAAAACTGACCATATCCTCAAATTAAATTATGATAACAGATTATCTCAATTCCAAATAGACATAAACAGATGGAAAGCTAGACATCTCACAACAATTGGTAATATCTCAGTATTGAAATCATTAATAATTCCAAAATTAACTTTCCTGTTTTCTGTTCTACCTAATCCTCCAAATAATACTGTAAATACAATAAAACAACAATGTTATGAATTTATATGGAGCTCAAAAAGGGATAAAGTTAAACGGGATGTGATAATACAGGAGTACAAAAACGGAGGTCTAAATATGATTGACATTCCTATATTTTTGAACTCAATAAAATCGAACTGGATAAAAAGAATAATAAACGATTCAAATAATGGGTTGTGGAAAGAAATAATAAAGAAAAATATTAATCATTTAGGTGGAATATCTCTATTTAAATGCAATATAAACACAAAAGATATATTGAAATTTAAAATCAAAAATAAATTTATACACGAAGTATTAGTAGCTTGGAGTGAAATCAATTTTAATGAAAATCCGAAAAATATTTCAGAACAAATTATTTGGCAAAATTCAAACATAAAAAATAACAATAGCCTTCTCTATTTCAGACAGTGGAGAAACAAAAATATATACCATGTAAAAGATATCTATGATACAAACGCAAAAAAATTTAAAACTTTTAGTCAATTAAAAACTGAATATAACATTCCTAATACTGAGTTTTTAAATTACCATAGACTTATCTCTTCAATTCCAACAAGTTGGAAAAGAAAATTAGATAATATCATTCTTTCTGTAACAACTGAGGAAATAAATATTTATGAGCTTTTAGAAAAAACAGAACCACATCTCTTAAATAGAAAATTAACACAGGTTCAAAAAGAAAGAAGGCTAAAATACCAGAATGAAAAACTAAAATCCCAGTTAAAATGGGAGGCAGAATTTCCAGATAAAAATTTCAATTGGCAACAAATATATTTAAATGCGTTTGATATTTGTAAGGATAATATTTTGCAAAATTTTTATTTTGATTTCCTACATAGAAATATTGCAACTAACAAATTTCTCTTTAGATGTAAATTAGTGGAGTCTAGCCTTTGTGATTTTTGTAATATGGAAATAGATAGCATAGAACATATATTTTGGACCTGTCAACAAACACAAATTTTCTGGAATGAATTGTTTAAATGGTTGGTTGAAATTGGTATACATGCAACCCAAGACAAATTTTTGTCCTTTTTTCATTCACGAAATAAAATTTTATCATATATTCTATTATTTGCCAAATATTATATATATAGTTGTAAAACAAAAAAGAAAATACCAAATAATCTTGTGTTCAAAAGAAAATTGATTGATAGAATATCTTTAGAAAAATACATAGCATTTCAAAATGATTCTCTTGATGATTTCAACAGGAAGTGGAATAGCTTTCTAATAATGTTATAAGAACTGATTGATGATATGTCAGAAGTATATTACCAAAGCAGCCTTTCTTTCTTAATATTACCTTTTTTTATCTTATCGTAGTTTGTTGGAAAAATATGTTTTTGTTTACTACAGTTTTTATATTTTAGCACCTCCCCAAATTTTTCAGCATTTTTCAAACTGACTCAAGGAAATCTTTAAAATTGATTTAACAAAACTTTATATTGTTTAAAATATATTATCCTTTTTCTTAATTTTTCTTAAAGAGATTCACGTTTATAAGCTCTTTGAAATTATTTTAAAATGTCTACAACAACATATATATTAGTTAGTAACGTATGTTATGTAAAATAATTAATTGAAAAATGTAAAATGAATGTAAAATGAATGTATTATGTAAATTGTAAATGTAAATAAACGGGCCTTAAACGTGGTTCCAAAAAAAAAAAAAAAAAAAAAAAAAAAAAAAGAAAGAGAAATAAATGTCTGAATGTAGAATAAGCTAGTATGATATGTAGAGTACATAGTGTAAATAATATCAGACCATTTGTAATGTAAACTGAAATGAGTTCTGATGGAATACATTTTGCTAAATGTTGTTCATACTTTGCAAAAATGTCTGTCAAACAAATTTGTGAATGGAATACATTTGAATAAATATTGTATACTTTTGCAAAAATGTCAAACAAATTTGTGCAGCATGCTTTCAGATTTATGCTATTTTTTGCGTAACTTTGAAAATATATGGTAACAATGTTAATGCATGTATTTTACAGATGAGCTAATCTCAGCTATAAAGAAAGATATATCTGACGCGCAGGAAGCCTTAGACAAGCCAGAATTCCAGAAAATAAAATCAGACAACTTCTTCTCAAGTTCATCACAAGCCACATGCTGCTCAGCATCCCTTTGACCCCGCCTTGCTACATAGTTACACATACATATATATTGTTTTTATTTATTTGACTTACAAAATGTTAATAGAGGGACCATTCCACTTTATGATGGTATATAATATGCCTGTCTTTTATTTAGATTTATTTTTTAATCAGAGGTTTTTTACTTTAAAGAAATCATGAGGATTGGAAATCCAAATGTTACATTGTATGTCTTGTACATTTATGCCTGTGAGGCGTCCATGGCCGAGTGGTTCTGGTCATTGACTTCAAACCACTTGTCCCCTTATCACTGTGGGTTCAAATCTAGACATCAACTTTGGATTCTTTCATGAGAGGAAGCTATCCAGCTAGCTTACCAAATGTGGGAGGTTTTACTCAGGTGCCTGTTTGTGACTGGAATAATGCATGAAAAGGGCACCTTGAGGTCTTCCTCAAACAGTAAAGCTAGAAAGTCGACATATGACCTATACTGTGTTGGTGCTACATAAAACCCAATATAAAAACAACAACAAAAAACATTAATATCTACCTATGTGCATATCTCCATGTATAGGGTAAAGAACATAAGTGCTAATATAAATACAATATATTCCCAAGTTTTAAATACTTTTTTTATTGAAGTACAGGATTTTTTGAAAGTCTTGTTGAATGGTAGTTATAAGGATTGGTTCCTATAGTTAATAATGCCATGAAATGTGATATAAAGATATAAGAAACTTGTGTTTCCATGGTGATAAAATGTTGTTTTCTGCTTTAATCAATAGTAACATAATCAAAGACTCAGTTAACATTGTCTTATACTACAGTACAACCTATGCAGTAGAACACGTTCTGTGAGAGAGAAAAATTAGTTTTTGCCTAGAAATTTTGCACTCTAGAGCTTATATTTATTGTCTAGTCTTACTTTTGGATATTGCTATTGTAAGGACATTTAAATTGGTTTGCATATGGTCACTCTGAAGAGATTGCACTGTAGTCTATTAATACAAATGTATATTGAAAAGTTGAACACTTCAGCCATGTTCTAAACTTTGTAGTCTTGACGAGCGTTTAACTAACATTCCGTTAATTTTGCGTATCTTTTAACGTAAATATGGACTTACGCAAAAGGTAAATTTACGTTAGTTGCGTTTCAGAACAGAACGTGCAATTTACGCCAGTAATAAGCAAGTGTAACTTTACGTTTAAACTTACACAAATACATAGCTAAGAAAATTTAGTGAAACGCAAATAGATACGTAAGCTCTGCTTACGCAAAAAGTTTCGTTCAAACTCGAGTTACGATAACGTAAGTAAGTTAGTGAAAGCACCCTTGGTTTGTATGTTAAACAAGATTCCAAGGACTAGATTAAAGGGTAAAAATCAAAATTGAATGACAGTGCAAATATGTCTTAGATCAATTATTTTAACTAGTTAAAGGTTGTGACGTTTGCATCATTATTTCATGGATTAAATATGCCATGGTTTGAACACAGACCAGATTTTGTCATGGTTTAATCATGGTTTAAAATGTTTACTGCACTTGCCCTTATTTTTGATAAACCATGGTTATATCATTTTCATAAATGTAATCATAAATTATCCATTGTTTGATCATGGTTAAGTAATTATTTTCATGGTTTAATTATTATTTGCATGGTTTAATCATTGATAATACATGGTGTCATAGATAAGTTCATGGTAAAATCATGGAATATTCCTAGTTTTGTCATTGTTTAATCATGGTTTAATTATTTTATTCATAATGAAAATTATAAATGTTTTAGTTATATCCGTGTTCAATCATGGTATAATTGTTTCATGGTTTAATTGTGGTTTAACCCATGTTTTATCTTAGTTTAATGATGTTTTAATCATTATTTTCATAGTTTTATTTATTTTCTTTTTAGTTTACAGCTTCACAATAGGGTATGGCAGCTGTTTTGTCTGTTTATTTCAAAGTTACTTTTTTTCTTTTGTATGACATATATACATATATTTTTCTTTTGCTCACAGTTTTTTTTTAGCTCACCTGTCACAAAGTGACAGGGTGAGCTTTTGTGATCGCTTTTCGTCCGGCGTCCGTCCGGCATCCGTCTGTCGTCTGTCGTCCGTAAACTTTTACTTTAAATGACATCTCCTCATAAACCACTAAGCCAATTTCATCCAAATTTCACAGGAATGTTCCTTTGGTGGTCACCTTTGAAAGTGTTTAAAGAATTTTATTCCGTGCAGAACTCTGGTTGCCATGGCAACCAAAAGAAAAAAACTTAAAATATCTTCTTCTAAAATACCCAAAGAGCTAAAGCTTAGATTTTTGGCATGAAACATCTTCTGGTGAGTGTCTACCAAGTTAGTTCAAATAAAAGCCCTTGGGTCAAAATTGGCCCCGCCCCAGGGGGTCATTGATTTTCCCTATATGCATATAGTAAAAACTTAAAAAATCTTCTTTTAAAGAACCCAAAGAGCTCGAGCTAAGATATTTAGCATGAAACATCTTCTAATGGGTGTCTACCAAGTTTGTTCAAATAAAAGCCCTGGGGTCAAAATTGGCCCCGCCCCAGAGGGTCATTGATTTTCCCTATATGCATATAGTAAAAACTTAAAAAATCTTCTTTTAAAGAACCAAAAGAGCTAGAGCTAAGATATTTAGCATGAACATCTTCTAATGGATGTCTACCAAGTTTGTTCAAATAAAAGCCCTGGGGTCAAAATTGGCCCGCCCCGGGGGTCATTGATCCCTATATACATATAGTAAAAGCTTAAAAAAATATTATTTTAAAGAACCCAAAGAGCTAGAGCTAAGATATTTAGCATGAAACATCTTCTAATGGGTTTCTACCAAGTTTGTTCAAATAAAAGCCCTGGGGTCAAAGTTGGCCCCACCCCAGGGGGTCATTGATTTTCCATTTATACATATAGTAAAAACTTAAAAAATCTTCTTTTAAAGAACCCAAAGAGCTAGAGCTAAGATATTTAGCATGAAACATCTTCTAATGGGTGTCTACCAAGTTTGTTCAAATAAAAGCCCTTGGGTCAAAATTTGCCCGGTACTGGGGGTCATTGATTTTCCAAATTTCCTTATATGTGTATAGGAAAAATCTTAAAAAACTTCTTTGGAAAAAAACAAATAGCTAGAGTTTAGATATTAAGCATGAAACATCTTCTAGTGATTGTCTACAAAGTTTGTTCAAATAAAAGCCCTGGGGTCAAAATTGGCCCCACCCCGGGGGACATTGATTTTCCTTATACGAGTATAGCAAAAACTTAAAAGTCTTTTAAAAAACCCGAATAGCTAGAGTTTAGATATTAGGATGAAACATTTTCTAGTAAGTGTCTACAAAGATTGTTCAAATAAAATCCCTGGGGTCAAAATTGGCCCTGCCCCAGGTGTGTCATTGTTTTTAACTATATGTGTAAAGAAAAAACTTAAAAAAAATCTTCTTTTAAAAATCCCAACGAGCTAGACCTTAGATGTTTAGCATGAAACATCTTCTAATGGTTGTCTACAAAGTTTGTTCAAATAAAAGTCCGGGCTTTAAACTGGCCCTGCTCCGGGGGCCTATGTACAGGCGAGCGACTTCAGGGCCATCATGACCCTCTTGTTAAATCTCAGCTAGTATCACATTTTATTAGTCAGTTCTTGTTTTCCCTGTCAAATTGTTGCAAATGAAGAGAATCCTGTGATATTTGTACTACAAATTGGTCTGTGTTAAAGTTTTGTCACAAGTTACTCTGTTGTAGAAGAATGTGATAAACATTAAACAATGTGTTAATGACATTTACATGGTAATGTTATAACAACCAATAGTGAAAATTTACATAGATATATACTGTATAAGTGGATATTTATGCGTCACAAAAACTTTGCGAATGTCAAAAAGTGGACTTTTTGCGTGCTGAAAATATTTGTGAAAATATGATTTCTTGAATTTAATACAGTTTTTGTGATATCATTAATTAAGCAGGTATATGTTAAGAATATGCTGTTATTGTCATCGTTCTATTCAGTTGCTTTATACCTTTATAATGTATATAATTGTTTGAAATATACAGTGTTAGTTTGATAAAGGATCTGATCACACATTTTTTTTTGACATTTTTTGAAACATTCTTTTGTTACATAAATAACCTATTGTGTTATTATCACATAATTATATTGTTTAATTCAAACATTTTGTTT